CATCTGCCTGAAAGCATTGTGTAAAACACACACACAATGTTGGGGAAATAAGCCAATTATGTGTGCTTCACAGGAGGTGGGGGACTGACCTTTGTGTATAATTAGTTCTTTTATTTAAAGCAAAGATTTTGAATAGAATAACTAATTAGCTGTCATAAATGGCAAATTGAAGATTTTGGCCAGATTCCTTGGGGAGTGTGGGAGGACGTCCCTCCTCCCACCCCGTACTGTACGCTCTCACTCTCCTCATTAGGGTTGTTTTTAGTTCTCTGCAGTGGTAATGAGGAGTGCAGTGGCGGCACTTCTCGGAGCCCCCTCTAACAAGGCATGAAACGCAGGTGGAGGAGAACCGCCTTCAGCTCCTGCCGCTTTCGCTCGGCACATGTGGGTGTAGCAGAGGGCTCAGGGGGAAGAGGGGGAGGCCGAGGGAGGCTGTGGGAAGTCAGAGTGGGGTCTGAAAAGTCCTGGTGATATCACCTGTGCTCTGTGCTCTGGACTTGACTGTATAAAATACAGGCAAGCTGCAAAGCCTTGAGGCATATATCATTAGCCAGCAGTCCCGCATTACTTTTTCAGACCAATTAACCTTTAGAGTTGCATTAGAGAAATTAGGTGGTGAACTTCCATGCTTTCAGAGGGGACCAGTAGCTCTCTTGCAGACCAGAGCACTGCGGAGCCGTACGCCATAGGACCATTGCAGATAACTGTTATTTAAAAGGTCTACCATTTATGAAAAGCTCCCAGGCTCTCTTGGAAACAAGGCTTTATGAACAGTGCCCTTAAAGGAACTGCAGCTGATTGCTATGTGAATAGAAATATCGGTAAAATGGCTTAGAAAAATTTAGAGGGGTACTTAGTGGACGCTTGTGTTACAAAGTCAGCGGAATAATTTTACAGAAAGACCCCAACTGAGAAGATACAGGCTGATTAAAGCTAGTTTGTCCGACTGTGAACAGAGGTAAAGTTTCGATTACTCAGTACAACAACAGCCTTTTTAGACACAGCCATGAATTTCAGCATGTCCAGAGGTGGTGTCTATAATTTTTTAATGTGCGTTGGAGCTCCGAGGACTCAGAACAGGTTTTGTTTTGTATTTACCAGCAGCAAGTCTATTAAGTTGTAAAGGGCAAAGAGGGGAGCGTAGGTAGCCAAAAATAGAAAGGCTTCATCTACTGTTTCTAAGAAAAGATAGCTATGGATATCTAGCAACAGGAGAGGAGACAGCAACTTGATGGTACTTTCAGAATTTGGTAATCAGTCAGCATTCCCTTTGTGATCATGTATTTAAATGGGTGAGTGTCCAGCTGTTAATTTTCCTACCTCTGCAACATGACTTCTCATTTTCTAATCCTTGCCCACAGAGCGCACATGGAATTTGTCAAAGGTGAGCCCTCTGTTTCTTGACAGCCCTAGCTAGACACCACATGCCCCTGATCAAATTGAACTAGGTATCTTGGCATTTTTTGGTAAGTACTGGGGGAAAATCTACATAGAGAAATGAAGCAGCATCGCAGTCTTGCAGTGGGGAAATTTCCAAAAAGAAAGAGCAGCTCTCCAGGTGGTTTCTGCCTGCAAAGCTGAGACTGCTTGGGATTTGCTGGAAGGGAGGCAAGAGGAGGAAAGGAGGGTTTGGTGTTGGCTGTGTCCTCTCTCTGCAAGGCTCCGACCATGAAAGGGGTTAAGCTTCTGAGATGCTGCTCTCTTGTTACTTGGAAATGACATGGCAAGCATGCAAGGAACCCTTGCTGATCAAGTTTGGCAGTTTTTGAAATTTTGTTTCACGCCTTGCCTGCTGTGTCAACTCACCAGCTAATTGCAGCTGCAACTTTCTGTAGTGGTGTGTGTGCTTCGTGCAGACCGGTTGGTTGGGATGTCGGAGGGAAGCCTCACAGACCAAAATGTAATTTCAAAACACTGAACCTGACCAGCAGAGGCTGACCTTGCTCGTTATTATCTGAGTGGAAATAGCAGCTTTGAACATCATATGATCTCTGAAATGGTACCTTTTTTCATTAGATTGAACACTGACCAAATACATAGCTTTTTTGCCTTGCTTAAAGTACTGTTTAAAAATATATATATCTGTTCCTTTGCTAGTTATTAGAAGAAAATCAAAGTGTTACATCCTCTTATTCACAGAACCCTCTCCTAAGACAATGGTGTGCTTGCAGTAGTGGGCAACTGAGACAGCAGTGGTAAGTGAGGGCTGCAAGGGCCACTGATGGAACAAGAAGCGCCACTACAGCCAGCCCACAGCCGTCTGGGCCTGCTTGCCACCTCAGGAGACCCTCCTAACCTGCCAACCTGCCCTTACCCATCAAACCAGCCTCTCCTAATGGTCCAGCCAGGGGTTTGTCCCTGCACAGCTGCCCTTGCGCTTGACCGTGCTGCTGTTACAGTGGACCCATCGCTCTGGGTGAGGAGAGCTGTACCTCCAAAAGGGCACTGGTTTCGAAAGGGCTCGAGGGCCTTGGGAAGTCCTGTCTGGCTGAAGATTTTGTATTTCTGGATCGTAGGGATGATCTCAAACCCCACCCATGCAGCAGTTCTCTTGAGAGGGGGTTTAAGGGGCTCTGATTGTGTAGATTCTGCATTCTGAAATCTGCAGCATGTCCAGATGCAGGACCCTCAAGTTACCTGGATGAACCTTGCAAAAGAATTGTATGATGACACCCCCCGTAAGAAATCCTCTTCTGCCTCTAAAGGTACGCAGCTCACATTTAGAGAGCCTGTTTGGGGGGTGGGTAATGACTCAACTCGTCTCTAGAGCTCCTATCTTAAAATATAATTCGCACATCTAGGTCTTAGCTTTCATAGGTGCGAACTATTTTCTTTCATCACTGGTACTGATCTTACACAGTTTGCAAATGCAAATCCATGTATGCGACCTTCTCTGCCTCAGAATAAGGCAGTCGCTTCCCACGATGTGCTGTTTTTCTTGTGTGGAGTTGGAGAGAGCATGGGATGAAGGCTTTAAGTTTTCTGAAAAAGAAATTACTCGAAAATTGAAGCATCTCTTTGCTCCTGAAATGTACTCTGAAAAAAAAAAAAAAAAAAAAGTGCTGTGTCCAGAACCACAGGGCCACTTCCCTTGTTCTCGTTAGAAACTCTCACCAGGATCACAGGACTTCTGCAGTTTGACCTCCAGCGCCCGCAGTATATTACACTTCTAACACTTCCCTGTCTTTTCCCTCTTTCCAAATGTGCGGGTGTTTCTCTGTGGCTGTGTACATAGAATTTCTCTCAGGAGCGTTACGGGTTGTGTGTGTGGCAGGCAAACACAGATTTAAGTTTTCACTTAATTATTGTATATTTGTCACTGGCATCAAAAGTTTGCTTATGTTGACTTTGCAAGCAGATTTCAAGTGTGCCGCAGCAAAGAGCAGGAGGGCTTTTTAAGCCTTGAGAGTTTTTGAATGTTACTTGACCTGTCTCTGTGCTGCTGAGACCACTTTGATAACAAATGGATCAATACCTCGCTGTTTGTGTAGAGGTGTCTTAAGTGCTATTGTTGTCTGCTTGCAGCTCTGACAAAGCAATTATTACTGTAGGAGTGGTGGGTTTTACATGTGCTGAGCATTAGGCACTGTCAGGTCACCCTGGCTTTTAAGGAAAGCAGCAAATGTCATTTATTACAGTGGCACTGACTCGGTCCTCTCCGGTTAAGGGACTGTTAATAATTCCATTACCAAGCTGCTACTTTCTGGGATATCCAGCGCTTCCTACAGAAATGGTGTCTTAACTTTGTGTAAGTGTATATAACCAGTGACACCTGCTACTGTAGCCAGAGTTTCCCCTCTCATCTTTTCCACATTGGTTAAGCCTGCTGCATGCTCATTAAAGCCCGGCATTTCAATTTTTAGCGATTGACACTAGTAAAAATAAAAATCAGTAACAAAGTAAAATCAGGGCTCTAGAGAAAATGGGATTCTGGCATCCCAGTGAGTTCACTTCTTCTTTCATCATCTCCTGTCCCCTTCCTCCCCTGCAGTACCATCCTTGTTTATTTTTCCACCTTGCCTGTTGATTCCATAAAATCCTCCCCTGCCTTTCTCTTAAGCTGAGAAGGGCGATAGGTCTCACACCCGTGTCAGTGCTTACCATGGGAGGCACTGTCTCTTGGAGGAGAGGACAAAGCTGGAGACAGCAGTGCGAGGAAGGTGGCCACAGCGAGTCTCCACCAGTCTAGTGACTTGAATGTCCTGTCACCACCTCATACCCAGCTAGCTCATGCTTGCTTTGCAGTCCCAGCAGGGGTTTCCAGGGAGGAAGAACCTCCTGGTTTTTTATTACCTTCTCCAGTGGTACAAGAGGAGAAGAAAAGCTCTGCTTTGCTTAAGGAGCATGGCTTCACTAGTGGTAGAGGGGCACTGGCTGGGTTATTCTCAGCAGTCCTCAAGGGTTTTTGGAATAACATTTAGCTTTCACTGAGGCCTCTATGACCAGCAAGGCTCACAAAAGAGGAAAAACAGTGGTGTACCACATCTTTTTATGCCCACTCCTCTCCTTTCCACATCAAGCTTGATCCAGCCAAGATGTTGGACTTGGGGTACGTATAGTGGTGGCCCTTCTGATCTTTGTAATTGCCTGTGGCAGGTAATCAACAACACAAGGGTACTGGTAATGAGGGGAAAAAGCACATGTTGACATTGCAGCCAGTTTATTCTGCTGCAAGATGTTAATTAAAAAAAGTCTGGTGCTTTGTGTCAGCCCTACCCTTAGGAAAAAAGGGCTGCGTTCCTGCAAGTGTCACACTCCCACTTACCCTGTGACCGCAAATGAATTTTAAGTTCCTTTGACCATCAGCTCCTTGCAATGTGAACTCCTTGTAATGAAACCAGCAGCAGTATTTGCTCGCAGATCTACCTATAGCTCTCAGTGGTACCCCGAATGCAGGAAACCTATTCAAGCTGTTTGATATCTTCTAAACAAAATGCTTTGTTTGTGTTGCAGGTGTGCCAATGTTATCTGTCCAACCCAAAGGGAAGCAGAAGGGCTGTGCTGGCTGCAACCGGAAGATCAAGGACCGGTACCTGCTGAAGGCTCTGGATAAGTATTGGCATGAAGACTGTCTAAAGTGTGCCTGCTGTGACTGCCGTCTTGGAGAGGTTGGATCAACTCTTTACACAAAAGCGAATCTCATTCTTTGCCGCAGAGATTACCTGAGGTAAATAGAGGAACGTACTGTGGGCTCTTCCCAAAGCCTCTCAGTATGCTGCCAGCTGTTTGTCTTTCTAAACCTCTACTATGAAAACATGTACTTGTTCATGGTCTGCCCAGAAGAGGTTGGAGTTTCTTCCTCTGATTAAGCATGGCTTTTTATTTGCACTTAACGTATTTTGTAGTCCGGGAGGTGGCATCCTATTTTTAGGTCAAGGTAGAAGGAAGAGGGCATGACTTATCTCTTTATTATTATGAACCAACAAGAACAAAGAGTGCTTGCTGAGAAAATTAGGAAAAGACTGTTAATTCTTCTTGCATATCTTTGATGTTATACTCCTACATATTGACTAAGATCTGACCAAACCCTTACCTTTTCTTTTTCAGTGATAGCTTTTAGATAGATTTCTAGTGCTTACATTGAGTAGGGTTCCTCCCCAGGGGCTCTTGTCTCTTCCCTAAGTAAACAGAGCAAAACACTCGAAAATTACAGATCAACTTAAAAAAAAATTTTCTTCATGAGGAAGTCTGCGGAGACCATCACTGACTCTGAGTTAGAATTACCCTGTCAGTGTGTGTTTGCAATACATAACAACACATGGGATTTTTTTGCCTGGTGTGTATGGGGGTTTTGTACAAAATATATAAACGCAAATTAATTTTAATAAGACAGCAGCCCTAATGCAAACATTCTTATGAGGGTCACACCACAAAACACTCTGAGTTTTGCTTTTTTTTTCCTTTGGAAGAGTGTAGTTGATCTCCAGCTAATGTGTGTGTTTTTCTTTTCTTTTTTTTTTTTTTTTTTTTGTAGTTGTTTTCCCGCTTATGTGGGTGTTTTTTTTTTTTTTTTTTTTTTTTTTTTTTTTCCTAAAGCACTGATAGTATTTCTTATGCAACCTCAACCAGCAAACACATCTGAAGCAAAACAAAACCAACATGCTGTTTTAAGATAGGGAGGTAAAATGCTGTCTAACCTTGTGGTGTCCAGAGGCCATCTAGATTAGTCTCAATGATCAGATGCCTCGTTTTTCAATGTAAAACATATTCCTGAAAATCTTTAGTAAATATTATCTTAGTAAACTTGAACAAACAAGTTTCTTCTTCTAAAAATGAGAGCTTAAGCACTGAGCCAAATAGAAGAAATAAGTCTGTTAGCTGCCATATGGGAGCTGCCACCTTGCCTTTTAGCCAGTGTACAAGAGCATCCTGCCCACATGAGGATTTTTTGCTCCTGCCTGAGTTGAAACTCTCTAGGGTACACGTGAAATGTCTCAGCCGAAATTCTGTCACTCAGGCAGCATTTGCAGGTCCATACTGGGTTACATGGGATGCATCCCCAAAAACGTAAGTGAGGAGGAGCTTGGATAGGGTGCAATAGATCTGAAGGGAGAAAGACAGGATAAGCAGCCTTTGGAAAGGTGGAAGGGGTGCAATGAGGAAAGAGTTAACTATCTTCACTGTCACGAAGTAATTTTTGTACCTTGTCTTAAGTCTGAGTATTTACTAATGCCATAAGTCACTTGCTCTGGAAGTATCCTTAACCCTGTCTCTGCTAAGCTGAAGAAACTGAGCTCCAGAAGGTTCTTCAACGCACAGATTTCTAAGCCCAAATTAGCATTTTGGTTCTTCACCGACCCTCCTTCAGTTCAGCTGTACTCTTTCTGAGTTGTGGACATAATTCTGATGTGTCAAGAATATAACAGCTCTTGATCTTCCCTTGTCAAGGATTGCATCGTTTCTTTTCATCATGGTATCACAATTGGGTCGTGCTTGGTGCTAATCGCAAGGACCCCAAAACCTTTCAGGAGAGTTTCTTCCAGTAATAGTCTTACTTCCAGAAAGCATAGGCTGCATTAGTTTCTAGGGTGTTTCTATACTTGGTTGTATTAGAACATGTATCTTGTTTGCACTCAGCTTGCCGATCCAGGTCTCTACATCAGTCATCCTCCTCTTCATTATTTATCGCTTCTCTAGACTTTGTCATTTGCGCACCTGATAAACAGTGTTGTGTGTGTTGGTTGGTTGGTTGGTTGGTTTTTAATCTGACCTGGAAGGTAGATATTCAGTGTTATTCTACATGTTGCAGAACCCTACTGGAAATACTTAGCTGGGAGGTGATTCCCATTTACATTTGTTATTTGAGACCTACAAGCTACCCTGTGTTTTGTCCATTTAATGAGCACTGTATTGATTGTGGTTTGTTCTAGTTTCATAACAAAAATAACATGTGGCATCAAATCAGACATGTTAAAGTGCCGAAGGAGAGCTGTATCGATGCTGTTAAACTTAGAAGAACCTTTTCATCATTGCAGTTGTGTAGAGCATTTCTTTCTTTCCTCGGTTTATCCTGAGATAAACCTGAGCTTCTTTGAGGTGGAAAAGCTTAATCTGTGATCTCACTGGTCCCGAGATGGCACAACTTTCTGGGGCACACCAGAGGTCTGTGCTAGAGATGGGAAAGAAGCCAGCAGTTGCAGATCCCAGGAGACAGCCCACGTCCTGTCTTTGAGAAGAGGGGGCAATTTGTGACATGAAACATGGAAGACAACAGTTGGGGCTAGTGTTTGACCATGTCTGCGCAGCTTCTGTCACAGCAGCAGTTAAGTGTGGTCTCTGAAGCAAACTTGTTCTGTGCCTGAAAGGGATCTCGTAGCCCCTCTGCCTCCTTTTGTTGGGTTAGAATAATCCCCGGTCCACCAAGGGGGAAGTCTGTTGCTATTTGTGCAGCATGGTTAAATTGTGGAGACAAGGTTTATGTGGCCCAGTAAAACGGGGCCAGACATTCTTCATGCTTAAGAAATTGTAGGTATTGTGAGTAAAAATGGGGGACATCTGCCCGTATTGCAGTAGGGTACCAAACACTTCAACTGGCTACACAGTCTCCTCTAGGTCTTTGGCTAGTCAACCTCCTCCAATGATGGCTATGTATACATATATTGTGCTACTAGCTAAATTTGGCGGGGAGCAGGGTGGTGGGTGGGTGGGGGGGTGGTACTACTTCCTACTTTAAATATTTTTCCCCTATCCAAATTTAGTCTGTTACAGCAGCTTTGACCACTAGAAATATTTCTTACTTGTTTTTTATCGGGAAGAACAATTGTCATATCCCAGGAAATTTACCCAGCTTTTACATCTGTGATGTTTTGTGTTCTCACTGATAAGTAAGTTTAGGTTTATACTATTTTTAGGGGGGGTTCTGCCGCACTCCTGTGTTCTGTTCTCCTGATGCTAAGGAACCATTGCAGGGTCCTAGGATAGGGGTAAGGGCACCGCTATGCGATCTTGTATTTTATGGAATTTTAAAGCAATTTTTTTTACTTTAAAACAGTTTCTGTTGCCTTCTACACATATTTCTTTCTCTCTCAATTTTAACTATTAGTTCTATTAATAGAAGGAACTAAAGTTGTCATCAACATCTTCTTTATTGTCTGTTCACTCCTGGTAATTTGAATTTTTCTTCTTGGAGAATTACCCATTCCCATCATTATATAATTCCTTCCCTTTAATAGTTCTAGAGCCTCTATCCACATCTTTTTTCATCTTGTTCAACAACTCATGGTATTTGTTCTACTAGTCAAATTTTAGCAGAATTCATTCCTAAAAATAAGTTTTCATACTTCATACTGTACTCTCACCAAAAGGGGAGTACTTTATCTGGAGGACAAAGGAATTTATAGTTGGCCACTTCCTCTATATGCCTTTGAATAAGAACAGGATGAATATTGCACTGATATTTAGTAGGTCAACCGTCACGTGAAAAATTGAAAGCTAGACTGTTTTTGTGCCCATAAATGTAAATATATGTATCTCTTATATTTGAAGTCCAAAAGGAGTATTGCTGTGTAATGACCAAGAGAAAAAAATTCATGTTTCATAATCTCTTTATAGACCAATGTTTCTTTGAATTTGCCTGTGAGCTGAGTGTGTAGTTTGGGAATATGTGCTTCATTACCTGGCGAGATGTGCTTTCCCCTCCCCTTGCGCTGTCTCCATCTATAAGCATGCAGCAGGCTTGTTCCTGCCCAGGGCTGCACAGACCAAACCACTAACACCCAGCATCAGGCTCCCGCTCGCATTATCACTTTGGAGGCAGCATTGTATAGGTGCTTACCTATAGACAGAAAGCACTCCTGGAATATTTTGGGCAGCTTAGAAATGCAGCAATTTGCAGGTCTGGGCCCCTGCTTGTGCCACCCCTCCTGCAGGCAGGTGTCGAGAGCCCCTGTGTTGCCGTTGTCAGCGAAGAGCAGCTCTGCCGTACTGGAGCAACTGTGGCCACTGCACGGATCGGGGACAGGGATGAATTTCCGGACTCTTGCCATCGGTGTGGGGCAGAGTGCTGGGACAGGAGCACGGCTGGCTCCTGCCCTGCTGTGTCAGCGTTGCTTTGGAGCCGGCTTTGCCCGAGGTGTCGGCAGCGCGGTGGGCTGCCGGCTGCATGTGCTGGTCCTCAGTGGGTTTTTAGAAGAAATCTTTCAAATATATTTCAGGAGCTGCTAGCAGACCATAGCCTGATCATTTGTTTCAAAAGATAAACTGTCGTCATTGCTTGTGAAGGAACATTTGTTAACCTTCACATTTCATAAAACACTTTCTTGCTCATTTTTTAATCATGAAAGATGAAATTGGATCTTGAGTTGTTATCCTTGCAGTATCACCTCAGTCTCCAGCTGTGTCTAGATGTATCTTTTGATACATTTTGTCTGAGCAAATAGATTTACCATTTGTTTCATAATCACAGTTCCAGCATTCCTACCTCTAATTATTTTTGATAAGCAAATGCTATTGAAGAAACTGCTTCTGGGACAGAGAAGCTTAGCGTGCAGCTCAGATGGCTCCTCGCAGCCCCCACGCAGCAATGTGTGTTTCTTCCTAGGTGTAATTAAACGTTCACCAAGCTCCAGTTCACAGGGATGGTTTGGGTCTTGCATCAGAATTTCCCAGGAGGAACTGACAACTTAAATTTCACTGTGAAGTGCTGATGAAGAACGTGATTTTTCCTTT